AATATGGTCTTACATGTCATTTACCACAAGGGGTAAATGCAGTACTTTTATAAATGATAATTATTTTCAAATGAACACCAAATTCACTCTTTACAACAGCCAGCATTAGCATCAAAGAGGCTGACACATATGTTTTAGAGGAAGTTGTTAACAGCATCACTAAAAAACCTTTCTAATCTTCTAAGCCTGATCTACTAAAGAGATCTTTTAACTTCCCCCTATACACACATATATACAACACGCAGAGAATTAAATACATATACACATGAATTGCTCTCAACTCCTGTCCCCAAGTGGTAAGAGACTCACTAGGTTTCTCCTTGTTTACTCACACTCTTACTAGCAGGCTGAAAAGGAAATAAAAAAGAATCCAGTTTCAATTACTTCCTAAACAAGATTTTGTGAACATGAAGGAGGCAACTGTACAGTCCATAAAAGCTTTTAAGAATTGGTCACTATAAACTGGAGGTAGTTTTGAAGTATGTTAGCTTGAATTAACTTATGAACTCAGAAGTAACATTAATCTACAAAAAGATTTTAAAAAATGAAATACTCTCCTGTTAGGAAGATTGTTTCTGTATCAATGAATACATTCTTTTCAGAAAACAAAACGTAGTTTTTTGTTTCTGGTTGTTCCCACTCAGCTCTGGGGAGCAGGCCAAGACACATGCACTTGTGGGTCTTTCTTGCTGAAAGTGTGTGCTGATGCTTCCTGAAGTTATAGCATGGACTGCATGTGGCATCCCAGTCATTCCCAAGGTCTTTTTCTACTAAAAACAGTTTTCAGAACTTGCTGTAAAGTGATTAATTCTAAAACAGTGCTGCTGGAACTGTGTTGTGCAGAAATTGCTCCCTAACTGATCTAAAGAGATATTTACTCCTGAAAACCCAGATGATAATCTAGATAGAAAAAGATTAGCATGAGCTCTTCCACTTTCAGTTTTGTCAGTATAAAATTTCACTGGGTAACTTTTATACTGTATCACAGTCACATGGTCTCAATACGTACCAGAAAATACTTCTGTAGGTTTTACCTGTAACCATGGAAACTGGTGAACCTTAGTAATGTTAAAAATACAAAGATTTTAAAAAGCCCAAAGAAAAGTCCCTCTCAATGAAGTTGCTGTTAAACTGACATTATTAAAAACACTAAACCCATTTTTTTTCCCGCCCCATCCTAAAAGTAATTCAGTAATTTGTTCTTGTAAAACAAGCATTCCACAGCAACAGGGGAGGGGGAAATTAAAAATCTCTCTGTACTTATAATCTATTATAAGTGAAATTAAATTATGCAACCCTGTAGCCACCTGTAGCAAACATCCCACTGTTAGCTTAAATTGTGTGCAACAGGAAAATGAGAAAAGAGATTTGTCATCTGCTTTTCTTGTTTTCCCTTCACAAAAGGTAACAAAGAATCACAGAATCATTAAGGTCAGAAAGGACCTCCAAGGTCACTGAGTCCAACCATTAACCTAAAGCTGCCAGGTCCATCACTGAGCTATATCCCTAAGCACCACATCTAGGTGATTTTTTAACACTTCCAGAGATGATGATTCCACCACTTCCCTGTTCCAACGCTTGACTGGACACAGGATTTGAGGTGCAGCCTCACCAGTGCTGAGCACAGGGGAATGATCATTTCCCTTGTCCTGCTGGCCACACTATTGCTGATACAGGCCCAGATGCTATTGGCTTTCTTGGCACTCTAGGCACACACTGGCTCATGTTCAGTTGCTGTTGACCAGCCCCCCCAGATCCATTTTTGCGGGGCAGCTTCCCAGCCACTCTGTCCCCAGCCTGTAGTGCTGCATGGGGCTGTTGTGACCCAAGGGCAGGACTTGGCACTTGGCCTTGTTGAACCTCAGACAACAGTCCTGGGTGAATCAATCCAGCCTGTCCAGACCCCTCTGCAGAGCCTTTCTACCCTCTAGTACATCAACCCTCCTGCCCAATCTAGTGTCATCTGCAAACTGACTGTGGGTGCACTCAATCCCCTTTTCCAGGCAGGTCAGCAATAAAGATACTAAACAGGACTGGCCCCAGTACTGAGCCCTGGCAGACACTATTTGTGACTGGCCACCGACTGGGTTTAACTCCATTCCCTCCCACTCTCTGGGCCCAGCCATCCAGCCAGTTTTTTACTCACTGAACAGTGCTCATGTCCAAGCCATGGGCTGCCAGCTTCTCCAGGAGAATGCTGTGGGACTCAGTGTCAAATGCTTTACTACAGTCCAGGCAGACAACTTCCACAGCCTTTCCCTCATGCACTCAGCAGGTCACCATGCCATAGAGGAAGATCAAGTTGGTGAAGCAGGACTTGTCTTTCCTAAACCCATGCTGGCTGGGCCTGATCTCCTGGTTGTTCTGCATGTGCTGTGTGATCAAGATGATATGTTCCATAACCTTCCCCAGCATCAAGGTCAGGCTGACAGGCCTGTAGTGTCCTGGATCCTCCTCCTGGCCCTTCTGCTAAAAGGGTATCACATTGGCCAACCTCCAGTCATTTGGGCCCTCCCAGGTTAGCCAGGACTCCTGGTAGATGATAGAAAGTGGCCTGGCAAGCTCTTCCACCAGCTCCCTCAGCACCCCTGGGTGGATTCCATCCAGCCCCATACACTTGTGCGTGTTTAAGCGGAGCAGCAGGTCACTGTTTCCTCCTGGATTATGGGGACTTCATTCTGCTCCTTGTCTCTGTCTTCCAGCTCAGGGCTGGATACCCTGAGGACAATTGGTCTGACCACTGAAGACTGATGCAAAAAAGGCATTATGTCCTCATCCTTTGTTGCAGTTTCCTCCCTCATGCAATATAAAGGACAGAGATTCTTGGCCCTCCTTTTGTTGCTAATGTATTTGTAAAAACATCTTTTATCTCCTATGGCAGTGGTCAAATGAATTTCTAGTGGGGCTTTTGCCTTTCTAACTTTCTTCCTGTATAACATAATGGCACCTTTGTAGTCCTCATGAGCTGCCTGCCCCTTCTTCCAAAGGTCTTTTTTCCCTGAGTTCCAGTGAAAGCTCCCTGTTCATCCAGGCCTGTTGTTCTTCCCTGCTGGCTCATCTTTGCACACATGGGACCAGCCTGCTCCTGCACCTGTAAGGTTCTTGAAGAATACTGAAGAATGCCCAGCTGTCCTGGACCCCTTTTCGCTTCAGGATTGTCTCACAAGGGACTCTCTCAACCAGTGTCCTAAATAGGCCAAAGTCTGCCCTCCTGAAGTCCAAGGTAGAGATTTTGCTCACTGTTTTCCTTACTTTGCCAGGAATCGAAACCTCTGTCATTTCATGGTCTGACCACATCACCCACCAGTCCTTCTCTGTTCACAAACAGCAGGTCCAGCAGGACATCTTCCCTGGTAGGCTCACTCCCCAGCTGTGTCAGGAAGTTATCTTCCACACACTCCAGGAATGTCCTAGACTGTTTGCTCTTTGCTGTGCTGTATTTCCAGCAGACACCTGGTAAGTTGAAGTCTCCCACAAGAACAAGAGCTAGTGATCATGAGACTTCCCTCACCTGTTTGTAGAATGTTTCATCTGCTGAAGAAGTCCAATGCTGAGCTGTTCCCACCCAGTGTAGGCAGCAGCTGCTGGAGGGCCTGCAGGTGGGCAAGGGCACAGCACCACCAGCCCCACCCAGCCTGGCAGCACTGGCGTGGAGTTCGGGTTGTTGCCATCGGAGCTGTGAGCTTGCCTGCTGGATCAGGACTACAAGAACCACAAGCAAGCAGTGGAGGAGCTGAAGGAGGTGGTTGAAGTGCCAGCCAAGCTGCAGTGACCTCCATGCCTGCCCCTAGCCTCCTGAGGCTCATCAGCTTCCTCTACACCCTCCTCAACCAAGGCAGTGCTCAGCCCACTGGAGGTGATGCATCTGTGGGCCCTGCACCTGGGCAACCATAGCCAGTCCTTCCCAGCAGTGCTGGTCTCTGCTACTGCTGAAGTCCTGGGGGACAAGAAGCTGGTCATCCAGCAGTACAACCACCTGCTCCTGTGGCTGATGAAGGCAGCAGGCCCTCAGCAGGTGCTGGGCCTGCTGCTGCAGCAGGAGCACCTGCAGCACAAGAACACCAAAGTGCACAAGTTGGTGGTCAACATCTGCACCATGGCTCTCCTCACTTACCCCAGTGAGGAGCTGGACTTGGCCAACCTGGTGTTTGGGCTGACTCCAGCACTGGTGGACAGCAAGCACAGGGCCCAGCACGCTGACGTGGAAGTGTTTGCTGTGCTGGCATCTCCCATGGGCCCAGCAAAACCACTCTACTCTTCAAGGCAGTGGATGCTGTGGAACTTGAGGACAATGGGGACAGGCTGATTCACACACTGCAGGACGGGCTGGCCAGGAAGACCTTCCTGAAGCTAGTAGACTAAGGGTTTGTAAAGTACACTGTGCCCCTGTCGACATCCAGTCATAGCAGGGAGTCCTGTTTACCCCCTGGAGCAGATACAGACTGGCTGTTGATGGGCCACAGGACTCAGAGCACACACAGTTACTGTGGGTATCACACAAGGGTTGATGCTCCAGCTCACACAGTGCCTAGGCTGATCACAGAATAAGTCCAAGAAGAGTCTTGAGCGTGTGTATAGGAAAAAGCAAACTGCCTTGGGAAAACGCTGGAGACACAGAAGGTGGTTGAGGAGTCAAGACACCTTTCACAAAGGGTGTGGAGCAGAGCTGCCAGCTGTGCTGCAGGATTCTGAAGGGTGACCTGACACACTGACAGCCATAACCAGGAGTGCTGAAACTGCTCACTGTGTTTCTGTACAGCGCCAAGTCCAGGTGTGACAGTGGTGACATGTGGCTGCCACCTCCAGCGCAGAGGGATCACCGGATCTGACAGTTAGTTTGACACTACAGATGCAAGCACTGAGTTTCTCTTCATGTGTTAGATTTGCATGAGACCATAGTTATGTTCAACCTCTCAAACACCTTAGTGAGAAGCTCTAGTCAGAGATGCTTGAACTGCCACCACCTCACGTAACATTCTGATATGTATATAATATGCCATATTCTAATAAAGTATATTTGGCTAGGAGCTCCCAGGGTGAAGTCTGTTGCCAGCAATGGACCCACTGGGAAGAGCAGATGGCTAGAAAAATTAAATCAAATCCAAACTGAAGTTTCGAATAACATCCAAAGCTCCTGTATCAAAGCCACATATGTCCAACATGCCTCTGTCATCTGGATCTGCGATCGAGAAACTATTTGAGGTCATTCCACAAACAATCAGTTTAGCAGGAATACCCATTTTCTAGAGGAAGAAGAGAAAAGAAAATCAGGACACACATATACAGTAACATAAAAATGCCAGAGGGCCAAATCTTGCTTGCATAAACCACTGTCTGAATAGCCACACCCACAGAAATGAGATATACCATAATTAGAACTGCAGATTGCCTGGCAACATTGTACTTAACCCGCAGTAGATATATTTGATACATGGAAATCATTACAATGAGGTATATTAGCATAACTTTCCTGCAATACTAAAATTCATAGATTATTCCAAATGTATTGTATTTGCTATTCTGCAGTTCATCCCTAGAGATAACTCAATTATCAAGTGACCTAATAGAGTCAAAGAGTGTCTAAGGCAAAGATTTCCAAATTTTTGCTGAATATATACAACCACTGTGGTCTGGACCATTCTGCTAAATGAGCTCAATTAGCAGGTAAGTAACCTGAAAGGTAAAGCAAGGCAAGTGGCATGAAGGCTAGAGTGCAGGAACTTTTTGTTTAAAGAACAGTTTAGGAATGGGAGCCAATCTCAACTAAGAAAACTAAATCACAGTGGGTAAGTTCAAGACTTCTGGTATTAATTTTAACTGGGTGGAAACGATATGAAGATTAAAGCCCATACACACTTTCTTGCCAAAAGTCTTTTCTGTAGTTTAAAACATAGTTCCTTTAAAGCATAAAAACTGCTTGCTGGTTAAATAAGTTTCTCATAGCAACATGCCTGGAGAAAGTATTTTTCTTTGCTCTGTTTTAAAATTATGAAGCTGCACAGCTTAGAGTAGTCCCTTTAAAACATAATGAGCTTTTGTCACAAGATACTGTCACCTCATCTTACTGATCCTTCCCTAACAGGCTTATCTTCATTACTTCATTTAAACTTTGTGCTATCTACTACAGACATCAAAATTAAATTTAATTCCATGAGTCAATTTCAATTCTGTAACCATTACAACAAAAGGTATTTAATCAATTATATGCAGAATACAGAAATCCATATACCCCCAAATAAAATTTTTTTGGTTATTGCAGTACACTGAGCAGGGTAGGCTACTTACAAATGCTTTTAGCAATTCTGTGGCTTTAAATATGCAAAATCAGTGCAATTCATGCATGAATTCTGCCTAATTACAGCACAGATCAGTTTTGAACAATACAGAATTACTTACTGAAAAAAAGCCACAACTATTTCAAGAGTCAAAATGTTTTTAGAACTGGTATTTATTTTGTACTGTATTCATCAACCACAACCAGCCAGAAGCATATTTACCTCTCTGTACTCCCTAAGAGCTGTTGCAGGAGGAGCACTCCCAGCAAAGGTCTCATTATCAGTAAATACAATGAAGACATCAGCAGCTGTCTGAGTTTTTTGAGCCCATATCATTGGAAGGGAACAATCAGTGGTACCCACTGGAATCTGAAGAGAAAAAAAGTAAATACACATGGAACACATTAATACAGAATTAGTAAACCATGGAAAAATTATTTCTTATGTAAGCTTCACATTTTACCACACACAGAGGCTTTTTGTTAAATTTTAGTTATGCTAAACTAAAAACTAGTTGATTTTGTTAAACTTAGCCATTTCATTTTTCATTTTAGTTTTGTCCAGACCCTTTTTTTTTCAGTTGTTTTTTTAAAAGTATTCTCTTCAAGTACTGCCATTCTAAATTACAATGCTCAATATCCAGCAGTTGAAATATGACATTTGCTGCACTTTTTCTAAACCACAGGGACAAGATAAAATCCAGTGTTTTACTGCAGAGATACAGACCAAAATAGAGAAGTAGAATTGATTACAAAGAAAATATAATATAACTTCTGAGATTTATTTTTTACATACTTCATACATTTTCACTAAAACTTGAGGTAACGTCATATCAGCTGTCACTGGACAAGGGACCAGTTCATGTGAAAAGGCAACAATCTGGGAATCCTTCTCAGTACGTGCTACAACCTGAGAAAGAGGAAGACAAAAATAATTCAGTTATATTATGCTGAATTTTTAATGCATCAATCAAGTAATTCCCTCCCAAGCACAGACCATGACATTTGCTGGTGTATTTAAGTCACCATGGCTCCTGATGTGCACCAACACTTCACTCTACACTTTGAAAATTCTGTAAGATTACTGCAAATAAAGATTGCCAAAATCAGAGCTAAGAACTGCTCCAATTACTAGAACTAAAGATACTTCAATATTTCATCTCTCTCCTCTGATATAAAATATTGAGCATTTTTAAACACCAGCAAAAGTTCAACTCCTCTATAAGAATACTATACAACACAAAAAGCTTTGGAATACCAAACTGAGGGGAAAGTGACTGTGAATAAGAATGATAATTTATCATTATATTGTATATGAATTATTATATTCAATATATTATATTCTTACATGTAATGCTAATAACATAAGAATTATCCCAAAATGTCTTAATCCAATCTGTCTCATTCTATAAATGCTTCTGAAAAAGATTCATATGTATTTTTAGCTAAGTGAAAAAGCTGTTCTGGCCATTTTGATTTATACTGGAAAACAACTTCTTCAAACTGAGTTTTCTGTAGCTTTAAGCAAGTGGTCTAGCACTGACACACAAAGTCACATCTTCTGTACCCCAAAAATATTATACACAAGTTTCCTTCTGATTTCTAACCAGCTTCAGAGCACCTTTATATCAAAAAAAGCAGCTCTAACAGTCATAAATAAAAGAAATTTAATGCCTCACCATACACATTGTTGCTGCAACTGTGCTGGCATTAAGGACACTGCCCAACACTTTTTGGGTCATTGATGCACTGACATCAACTGCAAGTAAGAAGCGTTTTCCTGTTGGTTCAACTGCCTAAAAGAAAGGAAAAACAATAGGTAAACACATTTAATATATTAATTTCTTCTTCCTTCTTCTGCTTTCAGTCCTAGAGATTGGCATGTTTTATTCCTTCTGTGGTAATGTTAGACCAATATTGTTGCCAAAGTTTGTTACCCTCACCACAAACTTGTCTTGATAAGCTTTCAGAAAACACAGAACTCTCAAAAAGCTTAACAAACTGAAGAACTACATTACCTTGAGAGCTTTGTAAAATGAGGCATCTAAAGCTTCTAAAATGTCTTCATCAGGACGCCACCAAAGCTTCCCTCTGCTCCCATGCCCAGCTTTATAGGTTTCCAATGCAACCAGAATATGGAATGGATGTATCCTACCCTACATGCAAAAGAAATCAAACACTAGTTTGTTGAAAATATGACCTCCTTAAAAAAAATAGCAGTAACAAACTAAATGGGAAAATCAGGTTCTACTACAAAAATCTGGTTTAGCATATTGTTACTTAAATGTGTTAAATGTGAAGAGTTCATGCAGCCTTTACACAGCTCTTTGCATGAACTGATCCTTATCAGTTACTTTCAAAGGACCTCAATCCCTTTCCAGAATGCTCCAATTAATGCCAAATGTTATGTCATCACCAGAATTCCGGTAAAATTTCACAGCTCTGTTTAGGATTGTCCAGTGCTATTTTCCATCACAGCCTTATATAGAGTCCCTGATAAGGGAAAGGAGCTGAGCTAGGCGAAGAACAAACTTAAAACTAGTTTGATATCAGATACAGTAAAACTGGACAAGGAAACTATTTTCAGAACGCAGCATTCCTTTCCCTCTTACTATAAAACATTCCAAACATTTTTTTCCTTTTTTGCTTTCCATACATAAACCAAATCAGTGGCTGTTGCATCCTTTGCTTTACTGATTTCTCAACATTTTGTTATCTTTTTCCTCAAGGGGAGTTTCAGTCATTCATCACTGCTAGCAGCAAACCTCAGCCAATCTGAATGTCTGTCCACTGCCTTTCTTCCATCAAGGTACTGCACAATCATCTCTGTTTTCCCTTCCCCAGTGCCTATGTACACAGTTAAAGAAGAAATTAGAGAAAAGGAAGAGCAGTGGGATGGGAATAAAAGAACCTATGTTGTTGTGCTCAAATCAACTTTGGTCTTGAAAAATTTAAGTGTCCTGATTTTAACCTCCCCAACTCATAAAACTGCTGGGCAAGGCACATCCCCTCTAACTTCCATTAAACTGAAAATTCTGCTCTCCCTTTGGGGAATACTCTTTTCCTTCTTATTTTTTTTATCTCTTTCATGGATAGCAAAGCAATCTGAAAGGAGAAAGGCTTCTTGTCCATATTCTTTTTTCCTCTCAGCTGCTGTGCTGTTTCTTCAATCACTCTCTAGGATCCTAGACCAGTGACTTCACTCAATTTTTAAGCTCCTATTGCCAGTTCTAAATTACTAGACTCAGCAGGCATGGCTGAACCCAACAGCCAAGGCCCTGCCAACATACTTCATGTATTGACAAGGCTCATAGGGGGCAGGGGGGAAATCAAAAGAGAAATTATAAATAAAAGTTATAAAATAAAGGTGCAGGCATTCCACTGCAGTTTTTGTAAGTAACAAATTACACACTTCCTCCAAAGAATATCACCATTTTGTGAAGAGGCTAAAGAAATACAGTGTAGGAAAAGATTAAACACTACAGAGGCTGGCACTGATTATAAAAAAGCTCTTACCTTTTTCAGCAGTTTCTCATTTCTCAGTTTTTCACATACTATTGCCACTTCTGACCCTCGTGGCTCAAGCACTGCATTTGCTGTCAGCTTTCCTAAGTTCCTCAGCAATACAGAGATGGGCATCTCCTTCAGCAATGCCTTCCAAACCTATGATCAAAGAAAGAAAAAACCAAAGAGATGAGAATTCCAAACTACAAGAACTGACATCGGGACATTGAATAAGTGTATTTTAAAATAAACATACAAATTATAAGAAATACTAAATTATTTTAAATTAGCTTCTTGGGCAAAAAACTTGAAGAACAGCATAAGGACTATTTTTTATTAAAGCGTAGACTTTAGACTCTGAAAGCATTACTCTAAACAGAACACAAAGCTAGTGAAGTGTACCTACCTCTTTAGATTTCAGATGGTTTGTCAGGAGATGCTCCCTAACTAGGCCATATTCCTCTATTAAGTGAATAACTTCCAATTCATCTTTTGTGCGTTTGACTTTCTCCACAGCCTCCAGATACTTTAAGAGTTTTTCAGTCTCATCAGAAACTGCTTTCTCTTTATAAGCTTCTTGGACATCTTTCCACCCCTTGGTAATATATTTAGTGACTATAGCAATACCTGTTGAAAAAGGGAAACATTTCCCAAGCAGGATTACCATCTGTATAGTGGCATTTATCATTCTAGCAAACAAATGAGGCAGCAGGTTTCATTCTCAGACCTGCCAAGCACCTACAAAAAAGGTCAGCCACACATGGTTTAGAGCAGTACTTTTAATTACTGTATTATACTCCTTAGAAGTAAGTAACCTAATGTATTTGCCAGGCTGCCCAGAGAAGCTGTGGCTGCCCCATCCCTGGAAGTGTTCAAGGCCAGGCTGGATGGGACTCTGAGCAACCTGGTCTAGTGGAAGGTGTCCCTGCCCATGGCAGTGGGTTGGAACTAGGTGGTCTTTAAGGTTTCTTTCAACCCAAACTATTCCATGATTCTGTGATCTGAAACCCACAGATATTCCAGTAACAATAAAGTGTTATTTCATCATTTTTAAGCAAATAGGAACAAAATTAGGGAATTGTGTTCTATTATCTTCTCTTGACATACGGAAGAAAAAATGGAACAAACTGTTTACCTTGAAGATAAACAGGTCAATTCCTGAAATGAACACTCATGTTTTTAAGATGCAACTTACAGGACATCCTCACTAAGAATTCATCTACAATTCTACTTGGGCTTCCCAAATAGTTCCACAGCAAATATAAAAGGTTTAAAACACAGTATTTTCAGGTAAATAAAATTTTATTACCTTCACTGGCAGGTTTTAGGTGGGACAACCTCAGAAGATCTTTATGAGACCAACCACTTCTTTGTTTATATTTTGTAACTGCTAAAGCAAGAGCCATGCCATTCTTTCCATTGTACCAATCTGCAACAGCTTTCCTCAGTGCACGGCCCCACATGCCACATTTCATGCCCTCCTTCAGATCTTTTTTAAACTGGATGAAAGTAAAGAGATGGGTTGGTATGCAACACACCTCAGGAACAGCTTTAAATGCCGCTTGTTTCGTTTTCACATCGGAACACTGTGAGCAAACTGCAAGAGCAAAAAGCAGGGGCTCCTGCTTGGCTGCTCTGCCTTCCTGGCTAAATGATTTTATTTCTTCAACAACTTCACAGCCTCTGCCCTCTTCAATCAGTCTTAGCAGAGCTTCTGCATTTTCAAATCCCAGCTTCTGCTCCTTGATGTGATAAGCAGCACCTTCGGAACCGAAGCACAGGAAGCGCTGCAGCCGATTGGTGTCAGTCATGTGCCACATGAAACCACTTTCAGAGTTGGGCACCTGCTTCTCACTCCCGAGCTGCACTCCCTTCTCCTCCTCCTCCATTGTTTATACTTCCAAGAGGTCTGCTGGAAGAAAAAAAACGTTACAAACAACTATTGTGAAAACCTGATGACTACTCTTTTATCACTTCTCACTATACACTTCGCAGTTTAATTTTTCTTTCACAAATTTAATCAGAGTATACTCTAAGTGTGCGATAATACACATTGTTTAGGGGAAAAGAAACAAAAAAATAACTGAGTTACAACACTGACAAACTTATTTTCCTAAAATCAACTTAGAAACTACTTTGACTCAGCAAGTGGCACACAAAAACACCTGATCTTACAGCTTTTTGCCACTAATATATTGCATCCCTTTCTTAGGTAGATTTTTGGATTGCAGATGAAATGGCTCAAAACTCAGATCTTGTCCTACTAGAAAAATGAGGCTAAAATGAAGCACTAAAATACTGAAAAACTGTTTAGTCAGAAGAGTTTGTCAGTGTTTATAAATGGTGTTTCAGTGAGACTTAGACAACAACTTTCTAAGTGTAGCACATTGATTTACAAACAACTTTCTCTTTGACACAGAATTTCCCTTTCTCTGCAAGTGACCAGAAATGCACCTCCCTCTGTTTTTGCATAGCCGTACTGATCTGCATCCAGAAATAAACAGTAATCATCACTGCTCCCATTATACTCTATAGGCTGCTAAAATCATCAAAATAGAAGCCATAGGCCAATACCCATTTTAAAAAACGCATGTTTCAGATAAAAATTAACTCAGAAATGTCTTTCATTGCATTATTCCGAGCAGCAGTGCTCAGCTGGTTTTCTTGGTGGGTAAATATTCTAACCAGGTTCCCTGCCAAACCTATTCTAACATCATCAGCCAATTTTTTCACTGACATCTGCAGCCTGGAAATACACTGGAAATAACCAGGGTGAAATTCCCAGTGCATGAATACTATATCAGTACCTTCTCCATTAGCTGACTTCATTAAACAGCAGGTAATGGTTCATAATAAACATACAAAACCCAAACAAAACAGCCTGAAATCATCGTCAGCATCTGTTACTTCATTTATTTTAAAAAATGGTGTATGAATACTGGAAAACACAATTATCCTGAAGGAAAAATCAGAATGGGAAGTGTGAAGGATCACGCATGAATAACAAGATCTCCACATACATGAAATATTGAGAATAATTTCTTGTTGTATCTTTCATATCTCTGTTAAAATAACTACTACTATGTTAAGATGAGAAAAATGGGAAAACTCTTTTCAGTCACCCAAGGATTCTCAAGACAAACTGAACTGGAAGAACCACAACTTTGGTTAACAAAACATCTCACTTTGCTGGTTATACTAAGAAAGACCAGCACTACTTTGAATATTTAGGAGGTTTTTTCCTACATTTATCCATTTGCACACAGGTTCCATCTGATATGACCACCTTATTTGAACTCTCTCTTGGAGAGTCTCACTTGTCCTGATACACTTCGTTTTCTAGTCGCTAATGTAAATCAGCAACCATTGTCAGCACCCTGAGGATGGGAACAAACCTAAACAATTATACCATTTCTCCAGTTAAACATGACATTTATCTGATCTGAATTCTAGATTTCTTTATAAAATACTGTGACATGATCAGTATTGCCATCACAGGTATCATCCTGAAAGGGAAACAGTTCACTTCTCCACTGTTCCATGTAAACATGAGTATGATTTCAACTGCATTGTATTAAAGAAGTTTTGAGCTAATCATCAGAGCAATCCTAAAGCAATCGTCTATTACACTGGGTAAGTAACCTAATAATGGATAATTTTTATGTTTACTTTCATATGGACTAGTCAATTCATGGACTCACAGCACTGAAGAGGTCTGTGCCTGCATCCATAGGCTTATGACACAAACCCCCAAAGGAAAAGTAAGTTGTAAATGTACACTCCAAGATTTTCTGAAGATACTCATAATTTTTCTGACACAGCTCTTTAATTTGCCACCTCAGGAATATACTGTGAACTACAGAACCAGATGCTGTTACAATTTCCACTCTTTGTAAGCTTAATTTTCACTCAGCTGAGTTGTCTTCTCAGCTGGGACACAGTATTTCACAGTGGAATGAATTACCTGCAGCACTTATCCCATGAAAAATGCCCATGACAAGTCTTCTGAAACCTCTAATAAAGCAACTGATGCTTTCTGAGGTGAAATCTGGGATACAAACCAGACTTGTCTCCAATGGCTTCTTGCTGCCTCAGGGCTTTAAATAGAATTTCAGACCAACATAAGCTTTTGGATCCTAAGACAAACTGTAAATCCTTCAAAACAAACCTGTGTTTTAAAAATTACTCTTGAAATCTGCAATGGCTGATGCAAACCAATAATATCACAACTAAACAGTCACACTTAAAGTATCCAAGTTACACTTCACCAGGAGCTACTGGAAAAGCAGTTATTGACAGCTGAGCTATTCAAGTCTTGTTGGCCATTTCTAACTCTGTTTTATATTTCAGTCTCACAAGTTCCCAAAGATATTCCCTCTCCTCTGCCCAGACCTCAAGCTTACTTCCTCCTTAGACACCTGCACAACAGAGACAACTTTCCCCCTGACAGAAGGAGAAATGCAAATACTCACTTAACATATGCTCTACCATAACCCTAGTGTTCTCCTGCTCAGCTGCAGCCGGAGAACTTGAATTTCAAACAGAATTTACCAATGGTATCCCAGCCCCATCAGCATTTCCAACATCTGAGCTACTGGAATGCAAACAGCAATGTGAAAAGCCTTAAAAGTCACAAACTTGGTATTTTCAAACAAAAATTGCTGAACTAACTTCACCATTATTAACTAAAGAAAAGAAAAACCACTAAGGGAAATGTTTTATATTGCAACCACTATATAAATTAATCTGTAAGTAAAATATGGCTTTGACTGCTCTGAACCAGTCTATACAGCATTGGCACTTTGATGGGTAAGTCAGAATTGTTATGTTGCTGTACCACAGCATGACTGAGTTGTCTAAGCTGACTTTTGTTACTTTTTATGACTTTTACAATTTGCCCCTAAGAAAGCTTATAGCACAAGTTTCAGGTACACATGAAAAAAACCCCATAAAGCACAAAGCTTTAACAGAACCACAAGTTCTAACATAACATCCTAAATTTAACCACTACGTAACAATAACAAATCAAACTTAGTAGCGAAATCCCATGGAATGAAACTTTGAAAAAAGTCAGATCTTTTCTGGAAAAAAAAAAAAAAGAATTGACAATTTAAAGGTAACACTTCAAATACTTCAAAACCACATATCCTTCATTCTACAAGAACCTGCATTCTCCCACTCTGGTCTCAAGATTTTAAGCATTAAAATGAACATTATAATGTTTTCTAGTTTACCAAGTAGAGAGATTAGAACCATCACACTGAGCTATGGTGGTAACCAAACAGATCAGCACTACAGCACAGCTCAGACAACAACAAGGTCCTTATACTTCCCAAAATAAACACCTCTAGGGAGGTGGTGGATTCACCATCCCTGGGGGTTTTCAAGTCGAGACTGGACTGGGCAGTTAGCACCATGGTCTAGTAACCACAGTAGGGTTAGACTCAATGATCTTCGAGGTCTCTTCCAACCTGGTTAATTCTATGATTCTACGTCAACAGGAATG